GTCCTTGCACACGAGTGTTGAACTTGTGACTCTCAACACTTTGGTTGCTTTTCGGAATAAAATACAACTCGAGTTTTTCTAGAATTACATTGGGCTGTTTCGCTTCTTCCTCACTAAGTTCTAATGTTTCAAAAATTTCTAGTGCTTCTTCTCCCAAACAATGGAGCAAGATGGCGGCTTGAGTTTCATTGTTCTTCGTCGTGAGTTCGGTTGCCGTCGAATAAAGTAGGTAACTTTTCTTAAATTTCTTCCAATTCGCTCCTAAGTCACCTTCTACCAACATCGGTTTTGGAGGAGGAAGATTTTGAAACGTGGACATGTTGAATCTAGTACGGGAGAATCTTTCGTCTTTCTCTAAGCGTTTGTCGACTGCACCATGTTATGTTTATTGTGAAAAGGTTCCAACCAAAGTGAGCGCTCAGGTGCCGTTCCCGTGATGCATCACAACGATCGCCACCTGGCGGACTCACTAATATTTTACATTTTAATACAATACATATTACACATGCGACTATGCCAGCTTTAAGTAGCCCACCTGACTGTTCATGGAGTATTTGATGTTATATAGTTTTAGGAGATATGGGGGCTGAGGTGCTCACTATCACTTGCACTAAAGCACACGACTGGATGTTTTGTCTTGTCTTTAAAGATTAGAGGGGCTGTCTGGGTAAACACAGACAGCCCTTCTAATCTGTTTGCAAGATATTCACCTCCAAAGATCAGTTTTTAACATGTATCAATATGTAAGTGAAGTATGAAAGAAGGGTTTTAGAAAAGAGGATAGAGGTAAGAAGAAATAAAGTGAGATAGAAAAGTGGGAAAAAAGCATAAGATCTCAGAATGTCTGCATTGCATTTATTGAACATGAACATTTATTGTTACAATTTGCTATTTACAACATGCTATTTACAATTTTTTACAATGCTGTACATAACAATTTTATCCCAATAACCCTGCATTAGGTAGCTGTAATTAACTGTAACAATGACTTGGAACAAGATTTACAGGTCATGACCAGCTTGGCCAGATTATGAATCTCAACTTGGGAACACAACTATATGTAAAGCATGTCGAATAGGCAGAATACTGATATATGTTAAAAACTGATCTTTGGAGGTGAATATCTTGCAGTCAACATTTCTGGGAGTGGTGCAAAAACTCCTCAATCAGAGCTTAAATCTTACCCATTGCTGTACATATTGGCTGGTGTCCCATTATTGGAAAAGTACCCACTTGTTTTATAGAATTTTTTTGCTGAATTTGAAAGATTTCTTGTACTTTTTAATTAAACAAAATATCTAATACAGGGGTGTCCAACCCTTTTGTTTCTCTGAGCCGCATTGGAAGAAGTCAAGGAGTTTTGGGTCACAAGTATATATAATATATACTTGTAGCCCAATATACAAGTATATTTAAGGATTAACACGTCTAGATTATAATAATAAGTATTAAATCTTTATCACAAAAAAGGATATTTTAAAAAATTACTTCTACAGACACTTTCAATTTTTACTTTGTTAATAACATTAATNTATGTCATGACATGCATGCTTTACTCTACCCTGAGATATTAAGCAAAATAGACACCAACACACAAGCATGGACATAGATCCATGGAATTCTTTTTGTCTTTTTTTTTTACTTTTTTGGATTCGGGAGGTCTCAAAATGTGGAGATTTGCAAAGAAGGGGGATAAAACTTGACACAATTCCAATACTGTTATACAATTCCTGTTATACAAGTTAAATTTGATATTCTGAATGTGAATATAAGTATATTAATACATTTATTTAAAATAATATATTATATTTGTAAGAAAATATAAAACTTTCTATAAATAAATATAAAAAGCTATAAAATATATATCAGGATTGATCAAATGAAATACAGTAGAGCATCGATTATCCAACCCCCGATTAACCGTCACATCAGTTAACCGACCGTTCTAGTGGGCAAATTGAAATGTCCGCTAGTGATGTGGCGCTACAATATTTGGCTATGTCTTGGCTACTTTAATAGTATTTTTACGTGTTTTAGCTGGCAACATGGCTCGACCATAAAAGGAAGAAAGTATTTAAATGAGGCTTAATTCTAATTTTTAACGATACAATAACGACGATTATTATTTTTAAAAAATTTTTGTTGGGCTTAACATCGATGAAAATTCAACGCAAAGTAGGTTAATAGCTAATATACTAATTACATGAGATATACTATACTTATAATGTATTTTTTCATATTTTTCGGTTATCCGTTTTTTCAGTTATCCGACCAACCCAGTCCCCAATTGAGTCAGATAATCGATGCTCTACTGTACATTCATCCCATCACGCGGTCTAGTGCAAGAGGAGGGGAATGATATCACAGTGGCATGATAAGCATACACCAATGAACAAGCAGGAAGAAGTTCAGATGTCTCTCACATTTTATTTTCAGCATAGAGTAGTGAAAACATCAGTGGGAATTATTCAGAATCTGTCCAAGGTCGATCAGTGGTCGAACCGGTGTCGAAAATAACAGTGACAGATTGGGCTTAAATGTTTCAGGAAGGACATCAGAAAAAGGAAGATTTACCATGGCCAGGCCAGGCACATGTTGCAATAGACAAAACCATCAGGAAGATTGATACAGCAATAAGTGTGGACCATCGTCAGACCTTACATTCTCTAGCGGAGGAATAGCATTCTCTGCTCTTACCTTTCATATGTCATTTGGAACAGTTCAAATGGCAATCACAAAGAACCTTCAGTATCAAAAGGTGTTTGCACAATAGATACCATGTTTGTTCAGTGACAACCATAAGGCTAACACTTGGATTGGAGTTTGCACCACTTACAGCAATACAAGATGGAGGGTAAGGATTTTCTGTGCTACCATTTTCAGCCAACCAATAGATAAGCAAGCATGTAATGGAAACCCCCCAGGATAGCTTACCAACCTACAAACAATTCGAGTCACAAGTCTTTGCCTGTAAGGTTATGATGACCATATTTTTTGACGTTGTGAGGCCTTTGCTGGAAGACTTTAAAGACTGTGAACATCAATGTCAACTGCAACACTGTAATATTGGACAAGCTGCATAAAGCCATAAAGAATAAGCAACCAGGCATACTATCACCTGATGTGATTTTGTTGCATGACAATGCTCAACCGCATGTTGCAAACACTGTGCAGGATACTTTAGCATGAAAAGGATAGGAGATTCTGCACCACTCTTTCTATAACCCCAATCTGTCCTCAACAAATTTCATTGTTCTTCTTTTGATCCTCTCTTAACAAAATAAATTTTATTTTATTTACATATCTTTACATAGATTTGTTTCATCATATTTTATACAAATATTTGCAAAGGTTAAAAAGTTTTTCTCAAATGATGATGAAGTAATTCTTGGTAGAGCAATCCAAAACAAAACAATTTAAAATGATATATTTCAGGAGATAATAATTATATTTTAAAGACACATTGAAAGTAGATGTAAGATAAGATTAATAAGATTTTTAAAACTATTTTCAAATGATTCAAGTGTTGTTAGGTTTTACATTGTAAGTGATAAACTAAATTATCAGTATTCAGGTAAAGAAACCCTGATTAAATGGTAATGACACCATGGCCAATTTTAGCCAGCTGTGTATCATTTATTTAGATCACATGTTCTTAACAATTAAATTGTTTCATTAATTTACTATTTCCAAAAACATGATGGGGTGTTTTAAGTGGTGGATTGGTTGGTGAGCAGTAGCATTATAGATTTGTTTGCTAAAATAAACTTTTATGGTCATTTTAAAAAAAGATGTGAGCAAATTTTGCTGTAAAATATGACAGAACAGATCTGTAAGAAAGTATATAAATATAAATAAAGATAAATTTCCAGGGAAAAAAATTAAATTCAATGACACTATGAACTCAAACAAAACCATACCTACAAAGGTCTCAAACAGATACAATGCTGTCACAAACAAACAAATTTACAAAATTTTCCTTTTATTTATAAGATTAACTTTGATGGTTTGTTTACAATTTAAGAAGGTTATTAATTAGAGTACTATCTTATTTCTATTTTAGTTATGTTTTAAATCATATTGAAATTTTAGTATAGAGAAAATATTCTATCAAGTTTAAATCTAATTTAGCAAATTTAAAATATTTTAATTGTTATTTTGTTTTGTGCTGTTTTTCATTTTGTAAATATAAAAAAAGACTATGAAAATATTGAAGATTTCTATTATAAAGTAAATTAATTCAATTATAAAGAGTGGTACTTTGAACTTGGGCTCTTAAGAATTTTGATATCTCAGACTAATTATGAATATTAAAAATAATTATAATTTATCAATAAGCATATTAATTAAATTAAATTACATTAATTTAATATTTAAACATTTGGTTTTAAAGATTAAATTAATGATGATCTCATGGTTATTACCAAAGGAAACAGTATGTTTTAAAAGATAAGAATAATGTATAATTAATAAACCATAATGTAATTAAATTTAACTACACATATATCATTAACAATTAAAACAATACTGTATTTCCTCAATTCTAAGATGTACTTTTTTTATTCCATTTTTACATTTTCAAAGTAAAAATAGAATAAAAGTATATTATAGAATCAAAAAAATATATTAAAAATAATACATGTAATTTTATACATTTACAATTACCTTACTAAATATTGAAGCATATTCCATATAAAGATTATCTTCTGAAATTGAACCTCTGAAATTACAAATACAATTTTTATTGCCAGTAAAACAACAAAAATTCTTAAAATATTTTATTAACTTTACATAATTATTTAAAAAAGTCAAATTAAATACAATTATTAAGACTATAATAATAAAATAAATATATTGTGTATGATATAAACAAAAATATCAGAATCATAATAAAGTAAAATGAATTTTTTATATGAAAAGTACAGAATAATGTTTCAATTTGAGAAATTGAATTATTGTTCTTTCATATATGATAACTTTGATTAAGTAAGCTAAAAAAATTTGTATTAAAAAAATAACATCTGATAAATTTGTGACATACGTGTGTTCTGTAGTAGCATTACGACTGAATGCCACAACTAGCTGATTTAAAGGATCAGGTTTTTCTTCTTCATCCTCTTGTGCAACTGCTTGTTCTGCATCTTCAAATGATTGCTAAAATATACAAATAATAACTACTTTGTTATTTTTAAAATTTAATTTTTTTTAAATTATACAAAAATTCCAATGAAAGAGAAAACATTTTAACTTTTGTTTTAAAAAGAATTAATTATATAAATAGATAATATTAAATTATAACTTAGGATAGACAAGGCATACAACTCATTTTTAACTCAAGAAAAAAAAAACTCAGTTTTTTGTTATTAAACAATTTTGTATGTTATTCTTTCACAATTTTTTTAAATATAATGTTTTAAATATTTTTAATAATATAATTTAACATCTAAATATATGTATAAAATAAATAATTTTTTTATTCATATAACCAACCAATTAACTAATTGAAATATTGTCAATATTCTTGTTTAACCATCTATTATGATAATATATCTGAAGTCTGTATATTTATATAAACTTTCTGTTGATTGCTATCATTATAATTGTTTTATACGGAATCTATTCGACTACATTATCAAACATTGTAAATTCAATACTATTACAATTGATCTTTCTAACCCCCTGTAACAAGGTCCCCTTATTACAATAAAGTTGTTAATTAATTAATATTTTTAATAATATATTTTTTAATAAGGCTAATTTGTAATTGTAAATCAACTAAGCAGTATTCAATTAGTTATTTTTGTTTTAATTTTACCTTTTAACTTTTATTTTAAAATTTTATTTAATCTTGAAATTGTTCATATTTATATAAGATGTATTAATATATAATAAATAGGTTATGATATTTATTTATTACTTTAATAAATCGTTTATAAAACTAAATCTTAAAATTTTAAAGCTAAATTTTTTCACTAGAGGGAGTCAGACAATATGATTTTTTGGAAAATGATGAAATAATACATATAAAGTATAGCAATAAAATATTTTTTTGAGCTTAAAATAAATTTTGGCAGTGTAACTGTGAGTTGAGAAACATTGCTGTAATATGTCATAAGTAAATTTTAATTTTTATAAAATTTGTTTTGAAATATGACATTGTAAAGCTGTATCAAGAAATTAACAAACAAATATTTAACTGATATGAATTATATATATAAATTATTTTCCTTAAATTCAAAATATGAATTTTAAAAAATTATTTTATTTCACAGAAAATAAAATAATTTTTGTGTAATTCTAAATAAATCCTAATTTAAAAACTTTATTATACAATATTATAATTAACAATTACCGTTAAATCTTCTATTAATTGTTCTTGGCCAACATTTTCTTCTTCTAACCACATTTCACGATATGTTTGCAGAAATATATTAATTCCACGATGCCTAAAATAAATTTAGAAATATATAATAAGATATTGGTTTAAAAACAATTTAGAATAAATTTATTAATTATATAACTTCATTTCTCAACTCTCAAATTATTTTTTATACCAGTACAATTATTTCATTATTTTATCTACTATAATTTTAGTTATTTATTCAAATAAGAATTTATCTAAATATGCAGCAAATATTCACCTATATAATGTATACTGTATATACTATACACATTATGTAAGTGAATATAGCAAGCAAATAACTTAAATAATGAAATGATGTGTATATTATTTTTTATTACAAAGTTGTACAGGCCATTTAGACAAGACGAGCCTTCCCTAAGTAACAACAACAAAATAGTTCAGATAAAAGCAACAAAAATAATAAAACAAAATGCAAAAGCCATTAAACCACATATTAAGCTTTTTTACACATTTGCTTAAATTTATGAAAATCATGATGCAAAAGTCCTTGACATTTTGACAGAGTTGCTGAATCTATAAAAAAAGAAATTTTGAGAAATTAAAAACCTGAAAAAAAGGATAGTAGAAAAAAAAAGATTAAATAAGTTAAAATTTGGTGTATGCAGGTTAAAATAAAAGGGTAAGATAAAGCCATTAAAGTATTTGAAAGTAAGGATTCTATCAAAATAGATAACTCTGTCTTCAAAATGTGGAAGTCCTAGCTCAAGAGATAAAGACTTACAATATCAGAGTGGTAATCAGAGTACAATACAGTATGTGGTAAGTTAACAAATTTATTTAATAGTAGCTAAGTTTTAGGTAATTCAGTAATGGCTAATCCAAAACAAAACAATTTAAAATGATATATTTCAGGAGATAATAATTATATTTTAAAGACACATTGAAAGTAGATGTAAGATAAGATTAATAAGATTTTTAAAACTATTTTCAAATGATTCAAGTGTTGTTAGGTTTTACATTGTAAGTGATAAACTAAATTATCAGTATTCAGGTAAAGAAACCCTGATTAAATGGTAATGACACCATGGCCAATTTTAGCCAGCTGTGTATCATTTATTTAGATCACATGTTCTTAACAATTAAATTGTTTCATTAATTTACTATTTCCAAAAACATGATGGGGTGTTTTAAGTGGTGGATTGGTTGGTGAGCAGAAGCATTATAGATTTGTTTGCTAAAATAAACTTTTATGGTCATTTTAAAAAAAGATGTGAGCAAATTTTGCTGTAAAATATGACAGAACAGATCTGTAAGAAAGTATATAAATATAAATAAAGATAAATTTCCGGGGAAAAAAATTAAATTCAATGACACTATGAACTCAAACAAAACCATACCTACAAAGGTCTCAAACAGATACAATGCTGTCACAAACAAACAAATTTACAAAATTTTCCTTTTATTTATAAGATTAACTTTGATGGTTTGTTTACAATTTAAGAAGGTTATTAATTAGAGTACTATCTTATTTCTATTTTAGTTATGTTTTAAATCATATTGAAATTTTAGTATAGAGAAAATATTCTATCAAGTTTAAATCTAATTTAGCAAATTTAAAATATTTTAATTGTTATTTTGTTTTGTGCTGTTTTTCATTTTGTAAATATAAAAAAAGACTATGAAAATATTGAAGATTTCTATTATAAAGTAAATTAATTCAATTATAAAGAGTGGTACTTTGAACTTGGGCTCTTAAGAATTTTGATATCTCAGACTAATTATGAATATTAAAAATAATTATAATTTATCAATAAGCATATTAATTAAATTAAATTACATTAATCTAATATTTAAACATTTGGTTTTAAAGATTAAATTAATGATGATCTCATGGTTATTACCAAAGGAAACAGTATGTTTTAAAAGATAAGAATAATGTATAATTAATAAACCATAATGTAATTAAATTTAACTACACATATATCATTAACAATTAAAACAATACTGTATTTCCTCAATTCTAAGATGTACTTTTTTTATTCCATTTTTACATTTTCAAAGTAAAAATAGAATAAAAGTATATTATAGAATCAAAAAAATATATTAAAAATAATACATGTAATTTTATACATTTACAATTACCTTACTAAATATTGAAGCATATTCCATATAAAGATTATCTTCTGAAATTGAACCTCTGAAATTACAAATACAATTTTTATTGCCAGTAAAACAACAAAAATTCTTAAAATATTTTATTAACTTTACATAATTATTTAAAAAAGTCAAATTAAATACAATTATTAAGACTATAATAATAAAATAAATATATTGTGTATGATATAAACAAAAATATCAGAATCATAATAAAGTAAAATGAATTTTTTATATGAAANGTCATTTTTTTATTTTTCTGTTGCCTTTTTGCAATTTATGATTAATAAAAATAATAACATTTTACTTACAAATTAAAATAAAAAGAAATTTAACAAAGTTATAAACTGTGGCACCGCGAATGTCTAGTCTGGTCTAATACACCGATAGTACTACTTGTTCGTAGATGGCGCGTATAATTGAATTAAGTCGTATACTGAACAAAATTTGTTTCGTCCAAATAGGATGTATTCCGAATTGGATGTATTCTAAATCAGACGTATACCGAGGTACTACTGTAATTGTAAATATGAAATTTATTACAATTCTTCTAATAATGTATATAAAACATTGATGATACAGAAATATCATCTGGATAAATAAAGATAATAAATTATAGTAAAAATAAAGAAAATTATAAAATTGATTCTATGTCATATACTTGTTTATATTAGGATCAATCAAATGAAATCTGTTCCTGCTGTGCCACATGGTCCGACACAAGGGAAGAGGAATGATGTGTGACTTGATAAGCATACACCAATAAACAAGAGGAGAGAAATTCAGCTGTCTTTCATGTTATGTTTTCGGCACAGAGTAGTAAAAACATATCCAGGGTTATTTGGAATCCAAGGTTGATCAGTGAGTGCTATTCAGTTTCTAACGTCAGAAAGACGTTGGCCAGTTGATATTCATTGCCAAATGCAGGTGATGTATCACCAAATTCACAAATATGTGTCAAAAACAATGACAAATTGGGCCCAAATGTTTCAGGAAGGACATCAGGAAACGGAAGATTTGTCTGTCACAACAATATGGGTTTGTCTGTCACAACAATATGTGCCTGGCTCATGGCTGAGCCAGGCACATATTGTTGTGACAGACAAACCCATCAGAAAGATTGGTGCAGCAATAAGTAGGGCCCATTAGAAGACCTTATGTTCTCTAGCATAGGAATTTCATATGTCATTTGGAACAGTTCAAATGGCGGTCACAAAGAACCTTCGGTATCAAAAGGTGTTTGCACAATAGATACCATGTTTGTTCAGTGACAACCATAAGGCTAACACTTGGATTGGAGTTTGCACCACTTACAGCAATACAAGATGGAGGGTAAGGATTTTCTGTGCTACCATTTTCAGCCAACCAATAGATAAGCAAGCATGTAATGGAAACCCCCCAGGATAGCTTACCAACCTACAAACAATTCGAGTCACAAGTCTTTGCCTGTAAGGTTATGATGACCATATTTTTTGACGTTGTGAGGCCTTTGCTGGAAGACTTTAAAGACTGTGAACATCAATGTCAACTGCAACACTGTAATATTGGACAAGCTGCATAAAGCCATAAAGAATAAGCAACCAGGCATACTATCACCTGATGTGATTTTGTTGCATGACAATGCTCAACCGCATGTTGCAAACACTGTGCAGGATACTTTAGCATGAAAAGGATAGGAGATTCTGCACCACTCTTTCTATAACCCCAATCTGTCACCATGTAACTTTCATTTGTTTGGACCTTTAAAAAAAGCTCTTAAGGGACAACACTTTAACTCTGATGCAGAAGTCAAGGAAGCAGTCACTCAATAGTTTGTGAGAGCCCCAATTTTATTTTTGATTAAACTTTTACACAATTATATAAATCCAAGAAATTTAATGGTTAAAATTTATATTAAACACAAAGAAAATTGTATAAAAATTTTTCCCAACAATTAATAAAACGATAGAAGGATATGATTGCATTTTCCACTGTATTCACTTCCTTTAGAAGATGACAAATCTTCCAAATGTGTCACCTGGAACTTTCACTGAAATTCATCTATTAGCCATGACCTATAACATTTCCAAAAAAGGACAAGAGGAAACATGAAAAAGACCCCCCAATAAAAGGGAGGGGCCGATGATGATTGGGGTCATTGTCACCAGAAGTTCATCCTCACCAGAGTTGCCCCTCGCTCAGATACCTCCGTGATCTTCCTCCATCAAAGTGAACTCCTTCTAAAGTGAACACCTTCCATTTAACAGTAAACTTGATCCATCCGGCATTGTAAGATATCTATATAATTTATATGTAAACTCTCTCTCTCCAACTTCGAACCCACAGACTTGTTAATATTGTGGTCAAAGCTTGCTTGTATAAAATTTGATAATTATCATAAATAAACGAAATTTGTTATTGTTAAATTTATGTTTGGTGCACTTCTTAAAATATGTTCTCTCTTGTGTCACCTCCATCTGGATCCAACTGTCCTTAGTACGTGAACACTCGTGCAAGAACACAAGCAGTCACATATTAATGGTGCGGTTACGAGCGGTTACCATCACGATTTCTATGTTGTTTCCAACATAGTGGTGTCATCCTGACATGGCATCATGACGTGGTGCCGACCCTCCAGTCATGGGTTCAAGGACCAACCAACATCATTCTTCACAAACAGTATCCGTCGTATCCCCAAGCAGTGAGATGTGTGTCAATGCCTACAGTGACTTTTTTTAACAAACAAAAATGCTTTCTGACTTTCTCATATATTACTTTGTTTAATTAAACCATACTGATAGAAATACTGTTTCATTTGTCTTAATAAATTTATCTGAATGGATTTCATTTGATCAATCCTTGTATATTTTGTGTTTATTATGTTTTTATGTTCTCTATCAAATATATGATAATAGGAATTTATTAAAATTCCTATTATCATATATTTGA